TTGAACTCAGACTTTTTGGGTCCTGTCACTGGATCTAACCAATGCCTTTATCCACTGTGCCACTAGTTTAACCTTTGAACACACAAAAAATGTTTTCTTATCTTGACAACACTATTATTGTATACTCTCTTGATTCCCTTGATCAGAATTTTAATAACAACAAAAATGCTATACACTATTGATTTGTTAGATTATTTATTAGCAAGATTAATTTTATATTTATGAGATTCTAATATGATTATTATTCTGTTTTTGTTTAAATACTTTCAAACATCTCAGTCATTATCAAGAACTGAAGGCTGTCACTATGATTGACAAAATTTTATCTCCAATCTGGATTTTGTTTTGTTTCTTTCTGGAGAAGTGAGAATGGTTCAATCTAAATTAATTTAAATATACAAGTATTCGATAAGAGACACCATGTTTAAAATGGTTTTCTAAGACCATCAGAAAAAACTGTATCAAATATAAATGTATTCATAAATACATTTTTTATACACTTTAAAATACTGTCTCTTGTAGTCAAAGATACTTTATTTAATATGAATTGTTTCTTTTGCATAACAATAGCTTTGAGTATTTTGCATTTGTCCTTGTCTATGTAGTATTTTGGTATAATCTACTAATACTTGTCTTATGTTAATAGGTGCATTTTGGTTGTTTATGTGATGAATGATATATATACAAATTGTACAATGTGAAAAATTAACCTACTGGAGAATGTGGTGTTTGTGTGACTAATGGAAGAATTTAATATTTTTTATTATTGATATTAGAGTTGCAATCTCCCATTCATAAACAATTTGTGGTTTTTTTTTATACATCCCAAGTTATTAGTGATAGACTAGATATTTTAAATTTTTAATAGTAAATGATAGCACTAAAATATTTATTGCAATCTTAAAGTGATATTTATCAAACAAATTATATTTTTAATCATATTGTTTACAGTGAGCATTCAAAAAATGTATAAACAATAAAAATTTGCCTTCTCAACAATCCTGAGAACATTCAGTTCTTGATAATGATTGAAACAGTTGAAAGGACTTGATTCCCAAAAACAAAAACAAAAAAAGATAAACATTAAACCCACAATTTTGATATAGATGTGTAACATCTTATTTGAAAAATGGAAAAATACAATAAAAACAAAACAAATTTTAATAAAATTTGCTGAAATGAATTCTTGTTACCTAAAAAAAATATAAAAATATATATATATATATATATATATATATATATATATATATATATATTTGCTAAAATATTGCCTAAATATATTCTAAAATATTGCATATATATATATATATGTGTGTGTGTATGAAAAATTTCTCATAGTTAGCCTGTAGAAAAAAGACAATATTTATAAATGTAAAAGACAATAGGAAACAGTTTTATCAGCTGACATGTTTCATCCAATGTCGACTTTTTCAACCACAATTTTGATTTTAAAAATCCTACACTCATAAAAAAGAAAATATCTCATTCAGAAGGAAAATCCTCGTGAGTGCTGCCAATGAATATTATTCAAATATTAATCTATGCCCAGGTTTTTTCCCTATATCACCTTTCCTAACAGAATTACTACTCTTCCAAGCAAACGCACACAACTGTATCAAGGAATCAAAAGAAAATTGTTGAATCCGTCAACACAACAATAAAAACAATATTTCCACATGTACTTGACATAATTTTCAGTTGAGAATATAAATACAACAGCGTTTTCTAAATTCTTCTAGTTGCTAAGGACATTTTGTTTTGTTGTTAATAGTTACATTGTTTTAATAAATTCATTTCATTTTTGCCTTGAAAAAGTCCACATTGGACAAAACGCGTCATCTAATAATACAATTTTCCTATTGTCTTCTACCTTATATATATATATATATATATATCAAAGTATATAATTGGTATACACGGAATGAATTCCAATAACCAACAATTACTATTCTTAAAAGAGTGCTCAATACAAAGTAGAGCAGATATAATTATTTTTATAAAAAATTTATAACATAAGTATATAAAATCACTACAAAAAATAGCCATTTGTTTCAACACACTCTGTGTCAAGACACAGAGTGTGTTGAAACAAATGGCTATTTTTGTAGTGATTTTATAACATACTTATGTTATAAATTTTTTAAAAAAATATATATATATATATATATATATATATATATATATATATATATATATATAGTAAAGGTAACAAATCCATTGGTATATAATCCAAGTGGATACTAGTAATATAAAATTTTAAAACTGATCCACAAAAAGAGCTCAATGCATTTATTATACAGAGCAAATAAATAGGAGTACACAATAAAATCCAAAATGAATTTTTGTTGGTTGAAATAGCTCTATTCTTCATATGAGGTAATTTTGGATTTTATTGTGTACTACCATAGATAGATAGATAGATAGATATTGTATAAAATTATAAAATATATATTATTTAAAATAGTAAATAAAATAATGCATCAGGAAGCCTATTTTGCTGAAAACATATTTTGTAATTTTGTAATAGTATATATATATATATGTTATCAATTAGATCTCATTTAGATATTCATGGAGACCTACCGGACACTATTCGGAACATACTTGTTGACAACACTAATATAATAGCATCATCTACATGCAAGAAAAGGCTAAAAATAATGGAAGCCTTATTAATAAAAACAAACAAACCAACACTTAATAATATTAACTTTGAACAGGGGTATAATATCTTGACCATGTTTTGAAACAAAAAAAAATGAAAACATTTTATAAAACATACATACAACAAACTATTTCTAATTTTAACAGTTAAAATATAATCCTTGAAAATGGCTAAATGTATAGCCAAAGCGCTCGGATAAAAAGAACATTCGAACAGTTTTTATATAATTTATCATCCAAAAAGAAAAAAATTATTTGATCGTATGACAAATTGTATAAAAAAACTAAATAAAAGCACCTAGTCTGTTGTTTTCAATGAAATGTGCATGAAAGAAGGATTCCTGCCTAAATACACAAAAATATATATATATATATATATATATATATATTATTTATTCAAAAATTATGACATAAACATGTTATAAAATCACTACAAAAATAGCCATTTTGTTTCAACACTTCTGGTGTCTTATCAAGTGATGGTGTTGAGTGTAAAATAAAGAGTTCTACAAGGTTCAAATGGACCAAACACCCCTCAATAGGGGAAAAGCTGTTACATAAGCTGCAATGACCAATCAAAATATGAGAATTCAAAAAACTTAATGAACCTTGATTATAATTATCAATGCCTTAATGTTAGGGTTAGACTAAAATAGAAGTCATCCTAATTGATTAATTTTAAATTTTACTATAAAATGGAAAATAAAATTACCATTTTTAAATTTAAACTGTGTTAAGTTTAAAATATAAAATTATTTAAAGAAAAACTAAGGAAAAAATACATATATTTTATTATTTATTTTGTTTTAATTGAAAAGCCAAAGGATTAATACAAATATAAAATTTGTCACTTAGCTAACTGATGTTATATTCAGCACTTTACTCTAAAGTTTCGTAGATGAACTTTTTGTAATCGTTCGACCCACTCGTCAGGAGGTATCAGCAATTGTCTGTTGATTTTCTCATTTTTGTTATTTTTATACTAATTTATAAATTAATTTATTATTTATTAGGTTAATTTTTTATTCTCTTTGTGTATGTGTTTTTGTATGTATGTATATTTAAACAAATTTGACTAAAAAGAACTGACAAGGTCTGTCTGTAGATAAACTCTCCAAAGTTTATGTTTCTGTTGTTGATTTGTTCAAGTACTTTCGACCACCTTACTCATTTTCAAGAACCATGTATTATTTGTGTGGTAGGCATAATTCCTTTATCTACATCCTGGTAATCTTTAGAAAGCTGAAAGTTTGAAACAGTCTGTGGTAACATCATGTGTAACAGTTATTGGGAACAAAGATATATATATATATATATATATATATATATATATATAAAGTGGATGCACGGTGTAATAATGGATAGTGGCTTGGATTGAGCAATCCGAGAGCCAAGTTCAAATTCCAGTCGAATCCATTACATTCACTTACGTGCTAATACCCTTGGGAAAAGTGTGAATCCTCTTCTCCCTCCAGCTATGGGTAAATAGCAGAAAAGACTGGGTTCTATAGCCTTGGATGGCAACTGGTCTACGAGAAGGAATTCAAAACCTGCGGAGGGTCATTTGGGGACCTTATGGCACATAGTGCACCAGGTCTCTGTATTCGGCCCTTCAAAAAGTGTGGATGGTCCTGCACAAAACCTTCAACACTATAATCAAATCTCATGTGCTGGTGTCGGGCTGTCAGTTTCCTAGAATTGATCTGCTTGACACTGCACGTCAAATTCGACGTGAGAGTCAGAGAGTATATATATATATATATATATATATATATATATATATATATATAAATATATAGTGGACATTTAGTCAACACACAGTAGTGACAGTCTGTTCCATGCTTAAACTCATTTGTCAGTACTTTCAGTCATCTCAATGAGTTTATACATGAAACAGACTGTCACCATTAGTGTTGACTTCACTTTTCATTCATAAGCTCTATCCCTGATATTGAGCACTTTAACCAATAAATATACCATACCTTAAAACTATTTTTATCATACATACATACATACATACATATATATATATATATATATATATATATATATATATATATATATATATTCTTTTGAATTTGTAGGTCTGATGAATTGGATCGTATTTACGATTCCAATGGAATAAATTATGACCATGGAATATTAGTGTTTAAGCCTTTTTATTATATCCTTACTCTGTCCTAGACATTGAGTTCTACCTGGATTCTTCCTCTTGGAATTTTTTTTCTAAAAATATACATGTATAGGTATTTATATATTTTGCATATGTATGTATATTTTCCACTAATATTATATATATATATATATATATATATATATTTGAGTATTTAAATGTTATGTACATATTTATTGATATGATATTTTGGGGGGCAAACTTCTTTTTCTGGCATCTGTATAATTATAAATAGTTACACATATACTGAGACACTTGCTGAAATTCTATGGTTAATCAGTTACTTACACCAGCTTACAAAATGGGTCTCAATCCTCACTGAACGACCCTTTATTGTAGATCCTGTGTTGAGTGCCTCCTATACTGACAGGCTGTCTCAGATTAATCTCCGAGTTTGATTTTCATTAGTCACCCCATAATCTTGGCCTTGTACCAAACTAATTATCTAAAATTTCGAATGTTGATTTTAAAACAGAAAGACTGTTTTTATTTGCAAGTTTGGTGCCACACAATCTTCCTATCTCTATCCGCCACCTCCAACTGGACCTTGTACCAGACAAGCTGAAACGTATCAATGAGGGAATTCTCCGTATTAGTAAAAGAATAATTTACTGTTCAACCCCCACTTCTCTTTGACTGACAGTTCTTTCCCTTCCTCCCCTTCACCCGATTCTTACTGCTGCTTCTTCCTCTCTAAGAACCCCATCCCCACCCCCACCGCGCCTTCTCTCGACTGCCTGACTGACAAGATTCAGCTTGGCCATTCATTCATTCATTTTTCTCCTTACGCTGTGACGACACACCCTAGAGTGAACACATCAACAACAACAACAACGATTCATTGACTGGCCTCCCCCGAAAACGTCTCTCTCTTTCTCTCTCTGGCCACCAGATGGGCAACGAGGACTTGTCGTTTTGTTTTGTATACAACACCAAATTGAAATCCGTGGATTCCTGTACTACCAAGACCTCTCTGTGTTAAAAAGTCGACGTTGAGATGATAAATGAATGCTTCGATTTTCAATATAAAAGAATACATCAGTAAAAAAAAAAAAAGAGAAAGAGAGAGAAAGCGATCCTGTTCTTACTTCTTGTTTCAAAAAAAAATCTTCCCAACATAACAAAACAAAACACCTCGAGGTTGAAGAATTAAAAGAAGACAAGCTTATCATTGAAAAAGGAGATCTTCCAGATGAATCTTCTTTATGGTATAATCATAATTTCATCGAAGTGTCTATCTATGTTGTTGTCCTGATGAAGAAACTGATGTCTGTGTTTTCTTCCTATTCTCAAAAAAAAAACCGAATTAACGATGAAATAATAATGTAATCATAAATTCTTTTATTTTATTATAGAAATTAAGAGAACAGAGAAATGGTAAACAAAGAAATTCACATTCGATATATACAGAAAAATGTTTCTTTCTTTTACCCTTCAGGGAATCAAAAGAATCCCTGATAATGAAAAAAAAATGAAAAAAACTTCGATGACACTTCAAGAATAAACAAAAATACTGTAAGAAAAACTTGAAAACAAATAAAAAAACGAGAGAGGATATTTCTATTTCCCTGGAACATTAATTTCAGTCTTTAATTGCAATATTAGATTTCTCCATAAATTTCTTTCATTGATGTTCAACTGAAAAGAACAATAATACTTCTCGGCTTCTTGTGTACAACAGGTGAGGGTTTCGCTTTATTTCTTTTTAATTTAAAGTACTTTTTCTTTTCTTTTTTACCAAACATTTCATAAGTGCGCTTATTAATTCTACTAGGGATTCTCTTTCTTCTTTCTTTGTCAAAATTAAAAAGAAAACTAAAACATGTTAAAAAAATATCTCTGTGATAGACAAGAAAGTTTCACAAGGCGTTTAAAAAATGTACAGTTGTCTAATAATCATTGATCATGACGTTCATGAAGTTAGAAGTGAAACAAAAAAAAGCCTTTCTCATTTTTATTTATTTATGTTCATTTTTCATTGACTTGAAAGAAAACTATGCAAAAAGGCGTCCAACCTATAAAAATAATTATTTTGTAATTTCCATTTTTTTAGAAAAAAAAAAGTTCATTTTTTAATTTTATCTATAATTTAATGATGTCAAAAAGTTTTAAGTCGCATATTTGCAATATGAGCAATAGCAAAAATAATTATTTTAATAACGTCAGGTTCACAATACTTTTTTTTCTTTTCTAGAAATTTTCTAATGAAAGAACACATTTGCCTTTTTATTTTTAGTTTCTTTTTCTTATTTCTTTAACACGCGCTTTTCTATTTCGTGACTGAACTGGGAGGGGGGTCTTTCTTTCTTACTTTTTTTACGTCAACATTTCATGAAAATTTCCATCCTAAATTTCATTTTTTATATAAGATTGAGAAAAAAAATACAAAAACAAAAATTCTTGCTAAAAAGGAAAATGTCTTATAAATTATTTTTTCTTTTTTATGAGGAGAAAAATATTTTTCTGTATTCAACAATGTGTGCCTGTGTGTGTGTGTGTGTGTGTGTGTGTGTGTGTGTGTGTGTGTGTGTGTTAATACAAAAAAGGATTTCCAACTGCTTTACTTGAATTATATTTTACTAATGAATTTAATATAAATTTTGCGATACGAAATAAATCAAAATATGAGGTCTGGTAGGGTTAAAAAGAGTTTTGGATCATTTTTAGCCATATGTATGATTATTAGATGTACGTGTGTGCGCGCGCGATTTTCATTATAGCGGAAAAACTGCAAAGGAAATAATTAGTGTCCAAAACTATTTTAATAAGAAACTCTACAATTTCTACAGAAAAAAAAGTGCTGCTTCTTTAACTGAACACATCCATTTTTGTCTGTTGTATTTTCTAAAGAATGGATTATTAAAAAAAAAACGTTACATTTTCCACATTCGTTCGCCAAAAAGAAAAGGAAAAAAAAAAGCGTGCATCTGTTCGTTATCAACTGTTGCCAACAATTCAGCGGGAATTTCGATTATTTGCCTTTTAACGAGCGTTAATGTTTTTTTTTAAGGACTAAGGAAAAAATGAGGTTTAGAGAGAATCACTTTTTAAAATGATGTTGAAGTCTTTCATTTTTTTTTATTTCTTTTTAAAAGCGGGTCCGTTTTTGTTTTTTTGTTTATCTATCTGACGAATATACGTCCGATTAAAAATTCTTGCTGTTTCAAATAAATATTAAACAGCATTTGTAATGATTGCATTGTTGATGTCTTTTTGATTGCTATCATAAAAATGACACACATGCAGGAAAAAAAAAGGTGTTTCTCTCTCGGGATTGATGCAGAACGAGACGAACAAAAAGTAGTAAAAAGAGATTTTTTCATTTTTAAATGAATGAAAGAAAATCGAATCCTATTAAAAATGAATGATGTTCTTTTTGTATTTTTGTTTGTAAGTTTATTGAAAAAACAACGCACTTTTTTCTTGTCTTCCATTTCGCTATTTTAAATAAAATTGTTTGCTTCAAAATATTTTTGTCAGTCATATTTTTGCCTTCTCCCTAAAAACCTCCCGACGCTTCTTGCAAACGTTTCGCTCTCTCTCTCTCTCTCTCCTTTAGTCCTCCTTCTTCCCTCTACGTCTTAGTCTTCCTTCCTTTCCTCTACGTCTTAGTCCTCCTTCCTTCCCTCTACGTCTTAGTCTTCCTTCCTTCCCACTCCCGCTTAGTCCTCTCCGGTCTTTCTTACTCCCTCTTCCACCTCCCCCTAGTTCTTCCTCCCTTCTCCTTCCCTTACCTTTCTTCTTTCCTTCCCTCTCTCTCCTTCCATTTCATCCCCCTTCCCCAACGTCTTCCATCCCCCTCTTCCCCCATCTTCCTCTCACCCCCTCTATATCTCCCACTCTCTCTAACTCACACACTAAAATGATGGTGGGAGTGAATTTAACAGTTAGAGAAAATGTTTGTTTCTTTATTACTTAATCGCCTTTGTCCCAATAAACACTAAAAAAATTCTCAGTGAGAATCCTGCTCACATCAATACTTCACAATTTCTTTTTCTTCATCTTCTATGTGCTGTGTCCCTTTAGGATGTCGACGATCATGGCTCTCTACAATTTTCTGTCCTTTTTGTAGCGCTTAGAATTTTTTTTTTTTTTTTTTTGCTATCTCTCCTAAAAAAAAACTATTAACCATTTGCTCGTTAGGCAGCTAAATGCGCTGTCTTCCACTCTCCCTCTTGCCTTCATTCAATGTGAGTGTCAAATTTTCTAAGCCCTCTTTCCACATTGTGCTATAAAAATTTCAACTCTTTCTGATGTGAAAACTTAAAAAGTGTCTTTTTTTTTGTTTCCATTCGTCGTTGTTACGTTCACGTGTTCAGTCCACGGTATCCTCAGCATCCTTCTGTAGAATCACATTTCTGTTGTTTCCAGTCTCTTCTTCATCTGTGAACAAACGCCCTTAATGACAAATTTTCTAAAAACTGTTTAAAAAAAAAAGAGAGAAAGAGAGCATCCTATTCCTGGATAGACATGTCCAACCAAATTGGCAACTTTTGAATTTTTATTGGTTTTTTAATCAAACTCCATAATCCACGAGCAATAATGAATACTCCTCGTTGTGGTTTAAAATGGTCAGTGAGATGAACTTGTGGATTATGAATTCGATCCTCACTAGGTGCCTTCGAGCCATAACTAAGCTACGCTTGGTAAAGCGCCTCGTTTTAAAGTGTAATTGTCATCAAACTGAACTAGTAGATCAATACCATCAGTAGTGAGTTTGCTCCTTACTGAGTGCCTCTTGTTACTTGTGCCCTTATGGCCAGACTAAGTTACTTTTAACTTTAGAATGACAATTGACTTTTTTCTGGAAGCACTTTGAAATTCATTCACCTTATTGTCTGAAAACTTTTTTTTTATCATTTGGGAAGTAATAATTATTAAAAATTAATGAATTAGAAGAACGAGATTACAAAAATATTGAGTGAAGAAGAAAAGGATAAAAAAATTGAAATCCGACAGAACTTACTATCCACGGCTTTGGAGAGCAAAAAAGTATTATTGTATTATCTGATCATCTAAGATTTTTAAAATTAAACGAATAAAATGCACACGTCTTTTTAATTCAATTTTTGTTGTTGATGTTGATGTTTCGATCTGAAATGACATTTTTTTTTTAATTTTACTAGTTTTATGATTTGGATCACGGAATTGATTTTTTTTTTCTTTACGAAGCTTTCATTAAAAGACATTTTGTTAAAAAAAAAAAAAAAAATCTTTTTTTAATTCACGTTTCGATATTCTCCGGTTTTCTTCAGAGGAACCTTTTTTTTACAATTTTGCAACAAAGCTGAAAACAAAAATAGATCGAAAAAGATGAAATAATAAATGAGAATGAAAAATACTTTAACTGCGAACTTAGGAAGAAAAAAAATATCTTTACTTCAACAGTCTTCTTTTCTTTTATGTCAGAATTTTGCCATATAAATCTTTCTTTTAGTTTTACTTCCTACCATTTCCATTTTTCAAATGTTCCCTTGTGTGCATCACTTTTAAAATGCATTTAGTTTCCTTCTTTCATTCAGTAATACTATTCTTTTCTTCTCCAAGAATTGATTTCTCATTCTCTTGATACTGTCTGCTTTTCGTTCAAATACCAATTAGTGTGTGTGTGTGTGTGTGTGTGTGTGTGTGTGTGTGTGTGAAAATAACTTGCTCGTTTTCTTCGCTGTGAAATCTTTTTAAAGAAACGTAAGAAAGGGCAATACAAGAAAATGTAACTTATCTTTTAGTTTTACTTTTCTTCTATATTTTTTGTTTAATTCATTAGTTGTTATTTTGGCGGGGGGGGGGACTTTTTCTGGCCCTAAACCGAACGTAACAATTTATTATTTCATGACTTTGTTAAAAATAAAATGTAGAGTACGATCTTTTTTTTACCTTTTAAGATCCACATTTATTTTAGGAGGCTCAACCCTGACTCAGTAACTGAACTCTATTTTTGTAATCTCGTTCTTCTAATTCATTAATTTTTAATAATTATATTGTTAATCTGATAAACCAACGCTTCAGAATTATTATCGTTAATCAATATAATATTGACGTTTTTTAGTGCATTTCTTTAATGTAGCTAAGTTCATTCGGTATTGATTTTGATCAGAATTGTTAGTACTAAATAAATTCATCCACTAAAACATACTAGTTAACTAGACTCAGTAGTAGTCGTAGTTATTGACGTTTTTATATTCAGTAGGAACGAGTAATTCTCAAGAATCAATTGTATGGTATGTAACGTCGTCAATTTCAATGTGATTATTACATCTTCCACCTGTAGAGTTGTTGAGCGACAGAACTTAAGTTCCCACCCTTTAATTGTATTGTATTTATTTCTAAGACTTTGTTTCTTATTTCATCCCATTATTTAAATAAAAACTAAAAACAAATTAGTGTTGTTGTTCTGCTTGAATTTCTTTATTTCAAAAAGTTTATATACCCATAGTCTCCTAGAGGGGCATTGTTTACTGGGGACAGACAAGTTCATTCGGTTTTGATTGCTCCACTTATTGGTACCCATGTGCCAGACTAAGCTAAGCTTATTAAATCTACCTTCATGCAGCCTATTAATAATAGACCTGTTTTTTTCTTGTTTCACCCAATACAAGAGCCACTCAATGTAGAGTTTTATTGAATGCAGTTGTTTTATGAACATAATAATATGTAAGATTAACTAAAATTCACACCAGAATTCAGAAATGTCCTTTAAAATTTGTTCAAAAATGCATTCATTGTTATTTTTTTGCCTTAAATTTCCAAAGAAACTCAAACAAATAAGATGAGTCTATCATGCTGTGATGAATCCCAAATATGGACTTATTCCTTATTTTGGCATTCCACCAGGTACTTTTGATTGTTTGCATGTGAACTGATGTTTCTGGGTTCATGAAATTCATACTGTGATTTACAGTCAGATAAATATAATTGGGATCATCCTTCAAAGATGTCTATCCTTTTCAACAATTCAACATAATCATAGTCCCAGATAAAATACAGCTTAGGAATGTGTCCAATACTGTGGGAGTTGTTGTATCTGTCACACAGTATATGAAACATTCTTGGGTTTCACAACATATGCCCCCAAATACCCATTGGTTTCACAGTTGGTGTCCAATTTGGTTCTTTTAATGGGAGAAACAACTCTTATCTATCTGCACAATAAGTTCTGGAGTGTCTTTAGTGCATTTCATCAACGTAGGAAGAATATTTACTCTCTCTGTATGAAACAAAAACACCACTCTCCTTGTTGTTGTATTCTTATATTCCATGCCATCAAATTCATGGCATGTGAAACAAATTTTTATTTAAAATTTGTAATTTCTTGGAGTGAATTAACAGAAAAGATCAAATAACAGCTGACACCAGATTTGAAAAGATTAATATTGTAGTAAGCATCCCCTTGAGAGTCTGTTCCACAAATCAGCAGCTCTTGACGGAAGAAGTTGTCTAAATGGAATTTCTTTCTTACCAATAGAATATGAAGAATGGTTTTCCTCTGCATACACAGCATGGCAAATTCCTAATGAAAATAGGGAATGTAGCTCATCAGAACACTTGCCATAGAAATAGAGATAGATTAGTGATAGGATTGCAATGTTGCAATTGTGGGGGAGGGGTGGTAGTGTGGAAAATAATTAATCACCCACAAGGCTGCATAAACACTTTTTTTGAAGTCTCTCTCGTCTGGAAAGTGAGGTCTTTGCAACTCCAGTCCATATATGGCAACTTTGGATTACCCCACCTTGCCTCTGTCAAAAGCACTCTCTATATAAATCAGTCAGTTATGTGCCATGCGTGGGACAAGCTTAGGCGATCATGTATCTTTTGATACATGACTGATGAGGCAGATATTTTTCCTGCAGTAGGTTGCCATTTCTTTCAGTTGCCATACAAAGCTATAGAACCCAGTCTGTCCTGCTATATACCCATAGCTTGGGGGAGAAGAAGAGGATTCATACCTTTCCCAAGGGTATTAGTACGTAAGTGAATGTAATGGATTTGACTGGAATTCAAACTCTGCTCTCTGATTCCTCAATCCAAGCCACTATCCATTACTCCACCGTGCCTGATAGGCAACAATATTCTATCCCACTCTCTTAGCCCTTTTCGACTCTGGCTTTCATATGGAGTCACACATGGGTAAAGTGTCCCCCCACTGGGGCATTTTCATTTTCATGGTTTTCTCTCTTGACATTTGTACTCTCCCACATATGCTGGTTATGGACATGCACACACACACACACACACACACACACACACACACACACACACACACCTATTAGAGCTATTTTCATGTTTTTTTTATTCATCACAATGTAATTCCTTTTGTAAATACATCCATTGCTGTTTGTTTCATATTTACTGTTTTTTGTTAATTAATTTCACCTGGACTCATATTGAGACCACTAATATTGTTTGTGCGATAAATTTTTCAGGAGCCTGTAAATAATTCCTCTCAAAAGTGTCGATTCCTGCAACATAATGTTGACCAATATTTACCCAAACATACAAATATCTTATCACACAAAATACTCCATTTTTGGATCTGATTCACTCCTTGTAAAGATAGAGCATGGCTGAAGGAGTCAGATACTTTCTGGAGTAGTACAAGGTGCTGGACATTTTTTCAGCATCATTAGCAATGGATCGTACAGATGAGTGCTACTTGTGAGTCTGGGGTGAACTTGGGTCCCCAATAAACGTTCAAAGCAAGGAGCCTCTTTGAGAGTGCAGCCATTCATTGTGAATTTAGGGTCAGCTTTGTGGTGATGAAAGGTTGTTGAATCATTAAAAGTCAATGTATCTACCTATTAAATAAAAATATGGTTTGACTGCAATTTACTGGGCCTACAATCCTAAAGGTTAACAACAACTGGGTTAAAACAGTTTTCTTTTGAATTCATTCTTTACCACTGTAATTATTTGTGC